AAAATGTGTTTAGATTTATGAGAACGGAGGATTGTGTTTTGTGAATTGTGTCTTTATGTGAAATGTGTTTATGATATTGGAAAATGATGGCTAGATTTAGTAAATGTGTTTAGACAACTGGTCATTTGGTTTAGAGGATTGGCTTTTGTGTTTTAGCATTTCAGAAAAACTAATATTATTAATTGTAAGATTACTGTTGTCTGTGTCTGAAAAATGTAATGTAATAATAATAATAATTATAAGAGGAGGAGGGGAAAAAAGAGAACAAGATGTCAGCTTAATGACATAATGAAGGTCAGCAGTGCGGAGTGAGACCAACACCTGCATGGAGAGTCAGATCGAAGAACCAGTGAAGACCAAGAACATAATTATGGCCTGCCCATTTATTGAAGACCCTGTGAAGGAGGGTGCTCGGATAATACAAAGAGCATTCAGACCACCAAGGGTCTTTATGGACAGAGTAAACCCTCTTGCCTTCCCAGATGACTATATGTAGGAGAGATACCGGTTCTGCAGATCCAGCATAGTGTACCCTGTGTGCTGCTGGAACCACACCTCAGCAAACCCACACGGCGAAGTCAAAGCCTGACCACAGTGCAATCTGTCTGTATTGCACTGCGCTTCTTTGCCAGTGGGAGAACCCTCTACAATGTTGGTGATACTGAGCATCTGTCTAAAGCAACGGTATGCCGTGAAATAAGGAGGGTATACCTTGCTCTGAGGCAATTTGTGAACATTTTTATCACCTTTCCTGGCCATCAACCGACACAGAGTATCAAAGAGGACTTTTATGCAGTAGCAGGTATGTGATAGTGTAAGTAGACTCAAATATTGATATGTCTGTATTAAGTTAAATCTCTCCCTAGACATTGGAACAATTTAACTTAAATTGGGATAAATGGGTTAAATATGTAAAATCTAACAGGCCTGACCTTATTTTTATATTTCATTAGGTTGTATCTTATTGATTACTCCCTTTTTGTATATAGTTTTATGTTATGTTATGTTTTTTTTTCTTTTTTTTTTCTCTTTCACTCCTGCTATATGTAAATGTGAATAATTAATATGCATAATTTGAAGTGTATTTGGATATATATCAATAAAAAGTGAATTAAAAAAAATAAATCTCTCCCTAAGGTACTGTAGACTGCCCTCACATACCAATCCAGGCCCCAGCTGGACCAATGGAGCCAGACTATATGAACAGGAAATCTTTCCATAGCCTCAATGTACAGGTATGGAGATTGGCAATAACTCCATACATTGCCAGTAGAGGGATTTAGCTCTGAATTTGACATTGTTCATCAATTCATACACTGAACAATCTTAAATGAATTCTCTGTCAGCGCGTCTTTGTGCTATATCACTGAATCCACTCTCTGTTTTCAGATGATATATGATAGGAATTGCCTAATTACCAATGCAGAGGCAAAATGGCCAGGCTCTGTCCATGTCTCCAGGATCTTTCAAGGGTCCTCACTGGCACAGAGGCTTGTAGAAGACAAGAGCACATTTCCAACAAGGGTTTTCATTTAAAATGCATTTATCATGGAAACTAGTGATGGGTGAAGTCTTAATTTCACTGAAGTAAATAGTTTTAAGTCATTACACACACATTGCTTCAATTTACGTCTTAATATGTGTGCGGGGGGGGGGTGGGGTCTCTTGAACTGTAGCAATGTCTTTCACAGCCTATCAAACAAATAATTCCTTCTGCAGGGGAGTTTAAAGTCTTGCTTGGGGACAGAGGTTATGCCTGCATGCCATACCTGCTAACCCCTTACCTAGAACCTCAAACTGAGACTGAGAGGCAATTTAACAATTCCCACTCTAGAACATGGGCATGCATGACCTTTGGCCAATTAAAATCAAGGTTCAAAATTCATGCACATTTCACAACTACGTATTGCAAGGCAACTTTTCAGGCCAACAGAGCTCTCACTACTTTAACTACTTGCAGATTCAAGTGCCTGAAAAGCCTCAGAGTAAGGCCAGACCAAGCGTGCAACATTATGGGTGCCTGTGCCATTCTGCACAATATTGCAACAATTCACCAGGAGAAACTGCTCACAGTGCTGGTGGAGGAGCAGTGGGAGGATATTGCAGCTCTTGAAGAGGGAATGGATGGAAAGATTGTGAGGAACAACTACTTCACGTAAGGCCACTGGTGAGCATTGAGCCACAACCCCCACATCATGTATTGTTAGATAAATGAAACACGTGCTCAAAATTGACACTTTATTCAAATTCTTTAATTAGGCTGTGTTTGAAGCTGTGCAGAGAGAGAGAGAGAACAGAAAACAAAAGCTTTTCAAGCCATGTACTTTTGCTCTCGTAGAGTGTATTTATTATAATTTTTGAAGTCTGGAAACAATTGACAAATGAATGGTTACAAAACAGATGTTTGCTTTTTATTAGTTTTTTAGGCAATGATGAAAAGCTGAATATTTGGTAAATTAAACATATGGCATTTGGTTAGTTTATATTATTGCACAGATGTCATGCAAACACATATTCCTTTCAGTTCAGGGTATGACATGTTAAATTTTCTGGAAAGATCTAAAATAATCACCTGTAGTTATTATACATTAGAGCTCATGTCCCCTCTCCGGATAGCAAAGTATGTTATCTGATATTCTGACCTAGATCACAATTAGAAACAGATCACAGTGTAAAGCTTGGTAGATCTCTGATCACTACCTAAACTGTACTAAAGAAAAAGTAAACTAAAACCTACCTAATATGACTTTTCCATTACAAGAAAATATTTGAAAATGCAATGATTTATCCCCTTTATCAGAGTTATTTTTGTACAACATATCTTTGTCAAAAATTTCTTAAACTAAATCTCAAATTACACTTTAGGCATGTGTGAGTCAAGTGTTGCAAAGTCTATATGACAGTTTTTATTACCTTGCTATAAGTCTAGACTGGAGTGTATGTTTCTCATTCGACAAATACAGCAGATGACTGTACTGGCAATGATAACTGTGCAAATTGTTATAATGATGATGATGAAGAACGTGTTCTGGGAAAGGCCCTTCTGAACCACATAGTTGCATTTATTCCTTCCCTTCCCTTCTGGTGCAATATTTGGTTTGGATGTAGAACTAGTAGCACTTCTATTTGATGTGGATGTAGGACTGGTGCTTGTCAGTGATACCATCAAGTCTTCATTGGTAAGGTTAAAAACACTAATATTATGCAGGGCAGGAGGGTGGAAGCATAACAGGTTTCTGGAATTCAGCACCTTGAAAGAGTTTTGCCTCAGCCAATCTCGGAGAGGCAGGATCTCCTGGTTGCAATTCCAGGGGTTCTGAGAGAGGATAACCTCTTCAATCATCTGAAATGTATCTAAAAGTTTTAGTGGCAAGCTTGATAGGGAATTGTTGCAGAGGTCTACCTGCTTCAGTTTAGGTATGTTCTGAAATACCTTCCATGGGAGAGTCTGAATTTGGTTGTGCTCAAGCGAGATATTCACCAGTTTGGGCAGTGCACTAAAGGTGCACTCCTCAAGGCTCGTAAGACGATTAGTGTGCAGGGACACCTCACTCAGCTCTATGAGTCCACTGAAAGCACCACTTGATACTGAACTGATCTGATTCCGACTCAAAACAAGAAGTTGTAGCTGAGTCAAGTTGCTGAACACATTGTCTCCCACATGAGTCAGTCTGTTGTCGTATAGCCAGAGTTCCTGGAGAGCCATGGGACCAAAAACCCGAGTGGACAATTCCTGAAGTTGATTTTGATGGAGGGATATTTGAGTAAGCCTAGGAAGGTGTAAGAAGATGCCCTCAGGCAGTAATGATAAATGATTGTTAGATAGGAACAGCTTCCTAAGTTTGAGCTGGTTGGAGAACAGCTGGGGTGCAAGATATTCAATTTGATTTTCCTGTAAGGATAGTTCTTCCAAGTTAACAAGAGTATTGAAACAGCTTGCTGGAATCCCTTTTATGGCATTATGATTTAGTCTCAGAATCTTTAGCGACCTTTGCCCTTGAAATGTTTCTTCTGAAAGATGCATGATGCTGTTCCTAGCCAGTGAGAGGTGCTGGAGATTAGTTAGCTTATGCAGAAAACCTGCTGGGATTGAGGTGAGGAGATTTTTGCTCAAGTCAAGCTTCTTGAGGGCTGTCAGAGGGGAGAACAGAGCTGGGTGAATGTCTTGAAATCTGTTGTTGCTCAGGATGAGTGATTCAAGAGTTTGCATTTCCTGGAATAGTTCCGAAGGCAGATCTTGCAGTTTAGTTCCCTGAAAGCCTACCAATTTAAGTCTGTTAGTATGATCAAATGTTCCAGGCAAAATTTCTGCTAATTCTGTGTCCTTTACTACAAAACCAGAGAGAGATTCAAAGCCATTGTCAAAATCACTTGGTGTCAATAATGAGATGTTGCTTTTCACTATTAAGAGTTCCATGGTGGCTGGGGGCAAGAATGGTGGGAACTTTATGACCAGATGACCAGAGCAAATCATTATGTTTTGTTCACACTGGCAAGCATTTGGGCAGCTTCCAATAATACTGTGAATGGTAAACAAGCTGAAAAATATGTAGATATGAATCACCATATCCATGGATGTCTGAGGAGAGATAAGAGATATTATATGTGTTATCAAAAGCAACAATGCAAATAAAGCATCATTATCATTCTTAGTATAACAGGGTTTTGTCAGGATTATCCTCAACAGTAAATCATGGCTTTTTTTTATCAAAAAACATGATGTAAAAATATAACCCTCAAAATGAAAATGATATAAATCACTGACTGTATTCAGGATTGTAGGTATCAAAATTTGTTTTTGAAGAGGGCTTTGAAGATGAATATTGAGCTTATTTGGGTTTTCCTAATCTCAATTAGGTAGGGCTGGTTTCTTTTAGCCATAAATACATGTAATTTCTTTAGGTTATTCTGTATGACATTTCTGTTGGTGCTGCTCTGTGTCAGGATGTTAGGCAGGATGTCTCAGATGGCAGGAAGCACATGTTTCCCCCCCACATCATTAAAGGGTGTGGGACGGTTACATTAAAACTTCATGGCAGTATAATATTGCAAACCAAGACACTCATTAAAACAAATAGAATTAACCTTTTTTCTGTTTCCACCCAAGTTGGAATTTCAATATAGTCTCATTGTATAACATATTTTTACTGGTACATGATTTTTACCTTTGGTGAAATTGCAATTATAGAATGACTAATAGGATTCAAAATAACCTATTTTCTCATAACTGTCATGGCACGGGCAGGAAAAGGCATGGCAGACAAAGACAAAGTCCTTCAGAGTGGAGCGCTGGCATCTGGCACACCAAGAGGCTGTGGCAGTCGGCAGTAAGTCACTGGGCACATGTAGAGTCTGCCCATAGATCAAGTTGGCTGACTAGGACTGCTCTTCTTGCTTAAGAGAGGTCCAGAGACCCAAAGAAGCCTGTCTATCTAATTCAATCACCATCCGGGAGGCTGGGTTGAAGAGCAGATTTCAGGAAGTGGTGAAAGCACTCACACAGCCCATTGCCTTGAGGATGGTAGGCTTTGGTGTGATGGACGGAAACCCCCAGCATCTCTCCATAACAACCTTAGCACGCTGACACTAAATGCAGGAGGCAGTCCAACTGCGGACATCCTTCCACAGCCTATGCCCGACAAACTTGGCGGCCATCAGACGCTGAGATTTGTGTCTACCCGAGTGCGAAAGCCTTTGTACCACCTCAAAATTGTGAAGACACTGGTCAGCACAACAGGCCTAGCTAGACTGGTCAAGATATCACACAGGAGGGTGGTGTCACAGTCATGGAAGGGAACATCCACCAGCTGCAGACTGGTGACCGCGGTCCTATAGGCCTGCACTTCTGTGTCGACGTGCTGGTCCACTGCCAATTGAGTGTAATCTACTCCCAAGTGCACAGCACATGCCACCGAACGGTAGAGTCAGTCGGCAACTCAGTTTCGCTTGCCCGCCACATTTTGGATGTAGTGTAGTGAACGCCAATATAAAGGAGAGTTGCCAGTGCTGATTAGTGGACCAAGGCTCAGAAATCTTAGCCATTGCAGCACTCTCACTATTGCAAACGTTGGGGGCTTGTGGTTGTCAATAGCTGTGACAGGGCGGCCTTCTGTGAGGAACCAGAAGTGATATACATTCAAGTACAGGCTGTACTTCAGCTTGCCCGAGCTACCAGCTGAAAAAGCAAGTAGTTGCCAGGTGCCATCCACCCGCTGCTTGTGCATGGCCCCCACAGTGTAGTCCAAGGTGTCGGTGGTGAGCGCGATTGGAGCATTAGGCAACAGGTGGACCAGCATGATTGCATTCACCAAAGCAGACATGGCAGCCACAAAAGCCTGGGTCTGCTCATCTGTCCACTCAAGGACCTACTTGGCTGTCCTACCTCTGAGAACTTTGAAGAATGGCCGCAGCAGCTGAGCAGCTCGTGGGATAAAGTGATGGTAGAAGGTAGAAGGTGACCATGCCTAGAAACTCCTGTAGGGCTCTAGCCATAGCAGGCTGCAGGAATGTAGAGATGGTCTCCACTTTGGCAGGCAGTGGAATTGCCCCATCTCCCGAGATGCAGTGGCCAAGGAAGTCAATGGAGGACAAACCAAACTGGCACTTTTGTGGGTTGTTGATCAACCCATGGCTGCTCAGATGCTCAAAAAGGGTCCGAAGTTTCACCAAATGGTCAGCCTTGGAGAATGTCATCCAGATAAACAAACAAGAAAAGAAGGTCCTTCAGGACACTGGTCATGAGCTGCTAGAAAGACTGGGCAGCATTTTTAAGCTCAAAGGACATCTTCAGAAACTCAAAAAGTTCAAACATAAGAACATAAGAAATTTAAAAACGAGAGGAGGCCATTCAACCCATCAAGCTCATTCGGGGAGAACTTAACTAATAGCTCAGAGTTGTTAAAATCTTATCTAGCTCTGATTTAAAGGAACCCAGGGTTTTAGCTTGCACTACACTAACAGGAAGACTATTCCATACTCTAACTACATGCTGTGTAAAGAAGTGCTTCCTCAAATTCGTTTTAAAATGTTTTCCCGCTAATTTCCACTTATGGCCACGGGTTCTAGTATTTAAACTAATATTGAAATAGCTATTTGGCTGAACAGCATCCAGACCTGTTAGAATCTTATATACCTGGATCATGTCCCCCCTTAGTCTACTGTGCTTGAGGCTAAACAGATTCAGCTCAGCTATCCTCTCCTCATAAGACATTCCTCTAAGACCAGGAATCATTCTTGTAGCCCTACGTTGCACCTTTTCCAAAGCAGAAATGTCCTTCTTAAGGTATGGTGACCAAACCTGCACACAATATTCTAGGTGGGGTCTTACCAAGGAATTATATAATCGTAGAATCACCTCCAATGACTTAAACTCCACACACCTAAAGATGTAACCCAATATCCTATTGGCCTTTTTTATTACTTCCCCACACTGGCGAGAGTGGGACATGGAAGCATCAACATACACACAGAGATCTTTCTCGTAATCAGCTACCTTTATTATAGTGGAACCCATAAAATTTCTGTACTTTATATTTCTGCTCCCTGCATGGATTACCTTACATTTATCTATGTTAAATTTCATCTGCCAGGTATCAGCCCAGTCATTAATTAAATTCAGATCCCGTTGTAACCTCTCCGCTGCTAGATCAGTATCTGCTACACCACCCACCTTGGTGTCGTCTGCAGATTTAACCAGTTTACTGTATGTATTGATGTCAATATCATTAATGTAAATTAGGAACAATAGTGGTCCTAAAATTGAACCCTGCGGTACCCCACTATGAACGCAAGCCCACTGTGACATTGTGCCTCTAAATAACTACTTGCTGCTTCCTGTCAGTTAACCAGTTTTTGATCAAAGCTGCTACAGTTCCTAAAATCCCTGCAGCTTTGAGCTTAAGCAAGAGCGGTTTGTGGACAAAGGCCTTCTGGAAATCTAAGTAGATCACATCGTAGGCCTTTTTGTGATCAATTTCTCTTGTAGTTTCCTCAAATAACTCAAGTAAATTCGTTAATCAGGATCTACCTCTCCTAAATCCATGTTGGCTATCCTTCAGAATGTTATTTGCATCCAGGTAATCTACCATTTTCACTTGGATTATAGCTTCCATTATTTTTCCAGAAATGCTAGTTAAACTGATTGGCCTATAGTTTGTTGGATTACTTCTATCACCTTTTTTGAATATAGGTGTTATATTAGCAAGCTTCCAATCAGAAGGTACCACACCTGCAGATAACGATTTCTGGAATATTAAAGTTAAAGGTTGGCTAATAATATCCCTCATCTCTTTTAAAACTATAGGTAAGATGCCATCAGGGCCCTGCGATTTATTTATTTTGAGCTTATCTAGGCTTAGTACCACATCCGCCTCAGTTATACTTATATTGGTCAAAGACAACGCTGTATTCGTACTAAATGGTGGTAAGTTACTCATGTTCTCTACTGTGAATACCCGTGTAAAATAATCATTAAACTCATTTACTATATCAATTTCATTTTCAATTATAAGGCCCTTACTATCCTGCAAATTAGTGATTTCAGCTTTTAGAGCTCTTTTGGAGTTAAAATATTGGAAGAAACTTTTATTGTCATCCTTAGCCCCCAATGCAATTTTTCTCTTTCTATTCTCTGAGAGAGTCTAATATTGTCAACCTGTAGACTTAGATACTCCTACTTAGTTTTGAAATCATTAGTTAATTTCCATTTGTGGAAGAGAGCCCTTTTCCTCCTGACTTTATTATTAATTTCCTTAGTAAACCACCTTGGTTGTAGTTTCCTAGATTTAGTTTTGCTGGAAACAGGTATGAAGTCCTCTTGCACTTGCAACAATGTGCTTTAAAAAAACTACCATGCCTCTTCAACCGTTTTGCTATTTAACTCCATCCAGTTTACAGTTTCTAGTTTCAGTCTCATACCATTAAAGTTAGCCTTCCTAACATTGTATACTTTTAATTTTGACTTTGCTCTTCTGACACTAAAATTAACCTTGAATTTAACCATGTTATGATCACTACCGTCCAGTGGTTCTAAAATGGTTTTCCAATCCTATCCTGGTTATTAGAGAAAACAAGATAAAGAAGGGTTTTTCCCCTGGTAGGGGTATTAACAAACAGTAAAAAAAAAAAACAATCCTGTACTAATTCCACCATCTCAAGTTCTTTTACAGAAGAGCCAGAGACTGTGTCCCACTGTATCCCAGGTAAATTAAAATCACCCATACCCACCACATCATTTTTATTACTCATAATCCTGATATCGTCATATAACATTCTGCTTTCCTCTGCAGCTACATTAGGTGCTCTATAACAAACCCCGACAATTAGGCCATTTGAGTCTTTAGCATCTAGTTTTATCCATACAGCTTCTGTACTTTTATTTTTATCAGTGAGCTCCCTTGCATGCAAGTGTTTTTTTTACATATACTGCAACACCACCTCCCTTCTTGCCTATCCGGTCTCTACGGAACAACGTATAACCATCCATATAATATTCTTCCCCATCATTGTCACTCATCCATGTTTCAGTTATTCCTATAATGTCGTAAGTGTCTGATGAAATTAAAGCCTCTAAATCATGAA